GTCATGTACGACGTTAATGAGGTTCAGCCAAAAAAGCAATTCACCCGCCCAACCACGACGCATTCCAAGCGTTAAAACGGGCTTCGTGACGAGAAGGCCTACCTCGGCAACTTCCACAATCGCTTCCATGCATTGCACGGCGTTTTCCGGTTCCGCAATCAGCTGGACCACTCGGTCAGTAGAGCAAGGCGCCAGCATCTGGTACACCTTAATCACCCTCATCTGATATTTCTGGCGCAATTCACGTATCCTCTCACCACCCTTGCCAATAATGCATCCGGCGATACTTTGGTGCACCAGTAGCCTCAAATCCACCATCTTCTCTTCCTCCTCCGCATCCTCATTCTCTGGCTGATCACCCTCACCTTGATTTCGTTGCTGTCTTCGGCGAGAGAAACGCTGTTGACCCATTATTACCTTGGGGTCGGAAAGTTTGGCACTCATCACATCCTATGAAGAAGAGGTGAACCTTGGAGCACAAAGCAAAAGCTACACTTACCTTCAGTTTTGGCATTATATCCCTCCACACATTGCAAATATCACCCAACGCACCCTCAATCGTGAAAACACTGTACAAAGGAGAGGGAAGCAACTTAATTAGATTGCTACCAAGAGCGGAAAAATAGAGAAAGAAAAGCGTCTAAGGCCGCAGCTGCCTTTGCGAAACCTATAATTCACAGTTTTAAAGCCAGGTACGTTTGGAAACCGTCCTAGAGAGCATGCAGATTAATTTTGGTGGAGCTAGGCAGCTGCTAAAAGCGATCTGATAACAAAAAAGAGTAAATGAGGAGAGAATAAAACGACATCCAGTCCGTGCCCTACCGTTCAATGCCCCTCGTGTCGGGAATATTCAGTCTCACTGAGAACTGCAAACAGTGAAAAAAATCGCCGGATCGACGTTACCCAAGAGTTTAGTGGTGCGTTAGTGAGACGCAATAAGCAAACCAAGGGTAAACGTAAACATGTTCATTAGTCGTGGAGTTCGAGGCCAGAAATTTGCGTGTTTTCAAGGATATGCGAGGTCGTGACGTCATGGATAACGTGGGAGCGTAAAAGGAACGAAAATAATAACACATGTTAGAAACCAGCAGTAGCTTAGAGCAGAGAAGAACTTCAAAAAATA